CAGCAGGAATTTCCCCATGGAAAGGTTTGTCCAGCCCTGGCACAGATTTTCAGGGCAGTGGTGGAGTCGCCATCCTTGGAAAGATTTAAACACCGTCTGGATGTGGGATATGGGGACACGGGGCAGTGGTGGCCTTGGCAGACTCCACATTCATAGAGGGCTTTTCCTACCTCAATAATTCCCTGTTTCCATAAAACACTTGCTGTGACTGACACAAGTTACCCAATCCAATTATCCACACTATCACTTTATTCCTTTGTAGCTCACAATATTTCTCCCTGCTCTTTCCCTGCAGGCCCAGCACAGGCTCCTCTGCATCTCCAGTTCTCCAGAGTCTCTCACTTCAGATTTTCTTGGCACAAAACATCCATCAAACACATCTGACTGTGAATTGGTCCTGTGTGCGCAGGATGCTCTCCAGGGCTGTTTTTATATAATCACAGCATCCCAGAATGGTTTGGAAGAGAAAAGACTTTAAAACTCATCTCATCCCACCCCCTGCCATGGGAGGGACACTTTCCACTGTCCCAAGTTGCTCCAAGCCTCATCCAGCCTGGCCTTGGGCACTGCCAGGGATCCAGGGGCAGCCACAGTTCCAGCATTGTGGAGCAGCTGCCTTCTCTCGAGATGGAAAACACCTGATACTTCATTCAAACACTCATCCCCATCTCTCAAAGTGCAGCTTTGATTCCACAGAAGGCTCACAAAGCAACTCTTGAAAGAGTTTGATCAAAAGACTACCAGGGATTTACAGACAGACAGAAAATGTCAGCTATTTTCTGTAGCCCATTCTCAACTGCAAAATTTATAATTGCTCCTCATTGGGGAGTGAGCTCATGGGTGAAGCTGCTGCTGCTCTCTTCAGACAAAGCTGCCATCTGACAGGTCTCAGCTATTTTGGCAGGAAATATGATTCATTTTTTGTCACAGGCATGCAGCTAGGTGCACATTATAAGCCCAATTCTTACATAAGTACCTTCATTTGCTAAAATTACTGCTTATTCTCCTTCTAAGAAAACCTGCTCCTGCCATTCAGCTCCTGTCTCGCCACATGAAGGAAGGGGCACCTGGAGAAGGGATGTGCCCCTTGTCCAAAAATAGTTTTCTCTGAAGCTGTGACCAACCAGGGAATGCAAAGCACACTCCTACAGCATCCTGCTGGATTTGGGGGCTCTCTTGGCTTGCCTGGAGCCTCCCACCAGAGATATAAAAGTATTCCAGCGTGAGCTGCAGCCTTGTGTTCCACTGAGCCATCTGCAGCTCTGCAAGCCGGGCCCAGATCTTTGTTTCTGTCACCTCCTGTGGCTTTGCTGGACATCACAGCAGCTGGAGAGGGACTCGAGAGAGCCCAGTGCTCCAGATCAGCCAGCGTGGATCTGCCTGGCTCCATGGAACTGTTTTGTTACACTGACAAACAGCTCATTTCCATGTCTGTCACTGCTCCACTGGCAAAATCCCATCTCCTGAGAGAGCCCATGGCAGCTCTGCCTGACCCAGAGCTCTGTGGATAGAGTTTGTCTGCTTCCATGGCTTTTCACCTCTTCCCAATGCTGACTCCTGCATTTTAACCACCATCCCAATGTACCTTGTCTCATTTTAGGACTTCAGGACAGGTCCTGATCTCTGTGTCACCACTGAGAGAATACCTGGAGCTGGGCCAGGGCAGATTCAGGTGGAAATCAGGAAAGGTTCTCCCCCCAGAGGGTGCTGGCACTGCCCAGGCTGCCCAGGGAATGGGCACAGCCCCAGAGCTGCAGGAGCTGCCAGGGATGCCCAGGGTGGGATTTTGGGGGTCTGGGCAAGGCAGGAGCTGCCCTGGATCATCTCTGGGGGTCCCTTCCAGCTCAGGAGTCTGTGATTAATGTTACTAGTTTATCCATGTATATATTATGTATCATCAACATTTATATATATATTATTATATAAATATAATATACATTTATCAATGTATATAAAATGTGTAATTAACATTCCCCCCATTAGATCCAACTGTGGAAGTATGTGTCCTACTGTCACAAGAAAATCCTGACAATTACTTTCTGGTGCCCTTTTATAAGATGCTAAAATGCACATTTCTCCCAAGTTCTACTCTACTATTTCTGAAGAGCTGTACCTGTTTTATTTTGAATTCCATTCATTCAGCTGGACACAGAGTTCAGCTGGAACTGACTCAGTTGTTGATAAAACAGAGTAAGAACTGGAACTGTCCGGCTGTTTAATTACTATCAGGTACTATTTCATAGCTGCTGCTTCTGGCTTGTCTCACCTTCAGAGAGACAGGGAGTTCTGCTGTGCTTGCCTGATCACAGAATCCACAGGAACACGGAATGGTTTGGGTTGAAATGGACATTAAAGTCGATTTCATTCCACTGCTGCCATGGCAGGGACAC